CAACCACTCCTACTCCAACCACTCCAAATCCTTACATCTCCACCTATCCCAAATCTGACCTCCCACCCACCTCTTCATCCTCCACAGGACCTAATGAACATTCTGCTCCACCARATTCGACACCCTCCACAACACCTACAGTGCAAACTGTCCCACAAGAAACAACACCTACCACCACTCCTCCTAATGACCACCCAACGGCCCAACCACACCTATCACCGTCGTTCCATAGTCACCGAACCACCACCGCAGCCTACCCCTACCCCCCCATCCTCTACCACCGAACAACCCACCCGTACTCGACCACCCAACCTACGTCCCAATCCCAAACAAACCAAACCTTACAATGCCTCCTCATACCATACCMATCACCCTTCACCTGACACCGAACCGACCACCTTTACTATTGCTAACAGGTACCCTCAGTGGCGTACTGCCATGGCTGACGAGTATTCGGCACTGATGCGGAATGGTACTTGGACATTAGTACCACGCGTTCCAAATTCCAACATAATTGATTGCAAGTGGGTATACAAATTAAAAAGGGATCAAACAGGGGCAATAAAACGTTACAAGGCACGACTAGTAGCCAAAGGTTTTCGGCAGCAACCAGGCATTGATTATCAGGAGACGTTCAGTCTCGTGGTCAAATCAACCACCATACGTGTTGTTCTATCTCTGGCTGCAACACAGAAATGGTCCCTAAGGCAACTTGATGTGAAAAATGCCTTCCTACATGGTGATCTCAACGAGACAGTTTATTTGCAGCAGCCACCAGGKTTCGTTGACCCGGACAAACCCGATCATGTTTGCCTACTTCACAAATCCTTATATGGATTAAAGCAGGCCCCTAGAGCGTGGTTTCATCGACTTTCTACGGTCCTTCATTCTCTTGGCTTTCARGGCTCCAAAACGGACCCTTCCTCGTTTATTTACTCCCACAGGGGCACCATTTTGTACATGCTAGTCTATGTTGATGACATTCTTTTRACAGGAAACAACCCGGAGGCTATTGACAAAGTGGTACAACGACTTAGCCACTCTTTTGCTGTTCAGGATATGGGTCGCTTGTCTTATTTTCTCGGTATTGAARTAACCAGTCAGGGTCATGATATGATTCTATCACAACGGAAATACATCCTTGAACTCTTGCAACGCGCAGGCCTGTCTAATGCTAAACCGACTTCATCTCCTATGACCACTAATGCTAATCTTGCTCTTGGTGATAGCGTTACGTTTGCTGATCCGGTCAAGTACCGCCAAATTGTGGGTGCCCTTCAATATGTGACATTGTCTCGTCCGGATATTACTTTCGCGGTCAACAAAGTCTGCCAATTTATGCAGTCCCCCACTGAAAATCATTGGACGGCAGTCAAACGAATTCTTCATTACTTGCAGGGCACTGCTGACTATGGTTTACGAATCATGCATGATTCAGGCACAATCCTTCATGCCTACACTGATTCTGCTTACAACTCCCTGACTGGCTTCTCCGATGCTGACTGGGCTGGTTGCCTTGACGACCGTCGATCCACTGGGGGATATGCTATCTATCTTGGTTCAAACCTAGTATCATGGTCTGCACGAAAACAAAGGACTGTCTCTCGGTCATCAACAGAGTCTGAATACAAGGCTC